TCTATCCACACCCCCACCCCCACCCCGCGTCGGGGGGGGGGGAATTTGGGGGGTGAGACACCCCCACCATTTAAAAAGTGGCCAAGCTTGAGAAACACTGGTTTAGCCTGAAGAAGACAAGGTTGAGAGGATCACAGTCTTCCAATACTTGAAGGGCTGCCCAGGGGAGGTGGGGTTATTCTCTGTAGTGCCCAGTGGCACAAGAACAACCAGCGGGTGGAAGCTTGGCAGATAGAGGCCCAAATTCAAAATACTGTAAGGAGGAACTTCCTGATCTTGAGAGCGATGAAGGAGCGGGGCGGCCTGCCTTCTGAAGTCCCGGGGGCTCCATCCGTGCAGCTTCTCAAGTCAAGGTGGGAAAGCCATTTCTCTAGGGTGGCAGGAGGATTCTTGAACTGGGCAGAGGGTTGGGCTAGAAAACCCCTTCTAACCCTGTAGGCTATGATTCTCTGTTAGTGGAATCTTGTGCCAGCAGTGTGGATGTTTTGCACTGAACTTTGATTTTTTCCTGTGTTCAACTGGTGGGTGAAGTGGAATTTGAACACAGGACTTTCCCTCATCCTTAGTTAGCTCTTTGCTGACGTAACCCTTTTCCGGTAAATACCTCGATATATTTATGTCTTTCGTTCTGCAGCTTCCAGCGGTTCCAAAAACGGAATTTTCCCTCTGCAGTGCCTGGAATTCAGGTACGATGGACCTTTCGGACCAATCCTTTTCTGATCTGGATTGCAGCCTTTTTAAAATTGGGTTTCTTTGCAAGTGTGCCCACAGTGGGGACTGTGTTAAAAGTGCGGCTGGAGAAAGATGATCAAGGATGTGAGGGTAGTGTTCTTGCACACGTGCACCGCTGTTATTCACCTTGTTTGGTGTTATCCTAGCAGCCAACCGCCAGGTGTGATGACCTCTAATATGATGTATTGCTTGATGAGTGTGAAGGCAGCCAATTATGGCTTATTCCATAACCATGCTTAAGCAAATCACGATTTAGTATGGACCAACTGGTTCATGCAGGGCAAAGGTAACTCCCAACCAAGTCTAGTCAGAGACTTTTTGCTCCTTGAGACAAAGCACAAGAGATCCTTCTTAGCATCATGGAGTTGAAAGAAATGATAGAAGCCATTTACGTCAACCTCCTGCTTAGTGCAGGGTCTAGGAAAGGATTTTAGAGAGATGGCTATCCAGACTCTGGAGTCTTCTGGGAACATACCACTTCATGGGTTAACCTTTTCTACTCATTGGCAGCTCTTACAGTCAGGAAGTTCCTCCTGATGTCCAGCCTGAATGTTCTTCCTTGGAGTTTTCATCCATTGGTTCTGCTTCTGCCCTTTGGAGTAATAGAGAAGTCCTTCTGATATTTCAGTACCACACTCATTATTCCCCATGGTTCTCTTTTCTAGGCTAAACATTCCCAGATCTTCTTAGGTTTCCAGACCTCTCACCCTCTTGGTAGATCTCCTCGGAACTGGCTCCAATTTGTCCCTGTTCTTTCTGAATTCTGATGCCCAGAACTGGACACAAGGATACAAGTGAGGTCTGATCATGTAATGGGCGGTAGGAACAACCTTGAGGAACAGGAGGAAGAGCTGCAACTAAGACAGTGGTTAGATAAAAGAAATCTGAGTCCAGGGCAAAAATCTAATGTGAGAAAGCATCTCAAACTTGACCCTCCCTAGTTCTCATGAAGATAAAAGGAGGGAATGGGAGAAGCGTATTCAGACTGGCAAGATTCTGTTATTGTAACCTTAAAATAAAAGTAGTATTAGCATTCATAACTTTGATTTCCTAGTCTGGTCTACCTTGAGGGGCTGATAGATCAGGGCAAAGGAAAGGGGATCAATTACTTCCCATAATCTGAACTCCCCAAAATTTATAATCCAGGTACAGAAACTGGGTTAGTGCCATGTAAATCAGCACTGCTTTTATTGTAACAGCTGTAATAGCAGAAACTTGCAAGTCTGAATGGGCTTCCCCCTCCCTCCCTTTGTCTAGGGAGGGGCTTGTTTGAGACGTTTTCTCAAGTTACTTTCTTGGCCGGGGCTCAGAACCCTCTTATCTGTCCATTGTCTTCCTCCTGTCCTTCAGGGCCATTCTCCAGCTCCTGGCAGACTCGATTCTGTCTTCCCGTAGTGTTATCCATTCCTCACTGCTGCCTCTCGGTACAAACCAAAGACAAGCAATATTTTGGGGGCCAGCAGCTGCCACTGAACATTTTGTGGGGAGCAAGACGCGCAATGAATATGACAGTCGCACCAAATCTATGGTGCTTTGTCACACGTGCGCATGCAACCAGGTTCTTCTATTTTCCTGGCTTTGAGTTAGAATTCTAACTATTCTTAAACTGTGTTTTTTTAAGCGGTTAGTTTTTGGCACATTTCCTATTTCCAAAAGGACAAGAAACTGACCCATTGCTCAGGAGGCTGGAAAGAAGAGGCACAGCACTGTGGTGGAATCAGGTGGCCGGAAGCTGCTCCCGTTCATACTCGTGGATAAGCCGAGGATTTTAGGTTCCAAAATACACCCCCAAAATTGGTTTGGCTTATCTGTGGAGGAGCTTATCCACGAGTGTATATAGTAATACATTTTTAAAACTCATCATGGCTCAACCACGCATACACCAGCCAAACGTTTAGCAGGAACAAAAGATGTTAAAAATTCGAGGATCGGTTTATCCGCAGGTGACCCATTTTTCATGGTATTTCGCTTGAAATTTCAAGGGTCGGCTTATCCCCGAGTATATATGGTAAGTTCTCCAAGAGAATGAAGCTTTTGCCTGCATGAAGAGGAAGGAAAAGAAAAGAATACTGTTAAGAATTGGAATTTGAGGTCTATGATTCATACTGTCAGTGGAAGGGGCTGATGTTGAGCCGGAATTTTAAAAACGCAATGTCTTTGATGATATGGAGAAATCCAGAGTTGAAATGGAACAGGTCATTGATTCCTTTTTTGAAAAAAAAAATAATTTTCATTAAAGAAGTTTTTTTACAAAATAAAAACTATGCACATTTAAAGAAAAAAGAAAAGAAAGTAAAAGAAAAGTGATAGGGAGGGAGGGAGGGAGGGAGGAAGGAAGGAAGGAAGGAAGGAAGGAAGGGAGGAAGGAAAAAGGGCAGGGAAGGGAGGGAGGGAGGAAATGGAGAAAAGAGAGAAGGAAGGAAGGAAATG